ATTTAAATATTATTTCTTATTTACTAAATAAATTAAATAAAATAAATATATAGATAAATAAATAAATTATTTATTTATTTTTCTTTATTTATTATAATTTATATTTATATATATATTTTTTATTTTATTTATTTATAATATAAATATTTATTTTTTATTTTTTATTTAATTTAAATTAAATAAATTAATTCAGAGAAAATATATTTAATAAGAAATATTAATAATTATTTTTATTAATAAAAAAATATTTATTTATTTATTTATTTATTTAATTTAATTAATTTATTTATTTATATTATTTAATTTATTAATCAATTCTTATTTAAATACATTTACTAAATAATAATAAAAATACTTTTTTTATTATTTTTTATTTATATATAAGAGAAAGTGCCTCCCCAAACCCTAAACCCTAAACCCTAAACCCTAAACCCTAAACCCTAAACCCTAGACATCTATCTATACTCTATAAGTACCCTCTGTTTGTTATCTGTTATCTATTTTTGTCTTTTTTCCCCCTTATACCTCTTTTCTCTCTCTCTCTCTGTCCGCCTAAACCCTAAACCCTAAACCCTAAACCCTAAACCCTAGTTAATACGGAATAATGTTTGAGGGTTTAGGGTAGTGTTTTGTCCGTCTCTTCTAGGAGAGACAATCAATAAACAAAACGCCAAGCTATTCGCTTGTTAACTTCTGTTTCTGCTGCTGCTGCTGTTGCTGCTGTTGCTGCTGCTGCCGCTGCTGCTGCTACTATTGTTGCTGCTCTTGTTACTTGCTGCTGCTACTGCTGCTGCTATTGTTTTTGCTGCTGCTGTTGCTGTTGCTAGCTTAACGACGGAGTTGATCCCACTAGCAGCAGCAGCAACGGCTGCTGCTGCTGCTGCAGCAGCAGCAGCAGCAGCAGCAGCAAAAAAATGAGCCACTAGAGAGCAGCTTAGAGCTCCATTGGAGTAATAACGGTGGCCCCTTTCCCTGCGCAAACAAAAACCCTATCGTATAATCAAGGGTTTAGGGTTTAGGGTTTGTGCAGGGATAAGGATAGCAGTAGGGGCCTGCTATGGTTTCCCCTCTGCACATCTGCAACGATTAGGGTTTAGGGTTTTCTGACAAAACCTACACTTGTACATTTTAGGGTTTAGGGTTTAGGGTTTAGAAATTTTAGGGTTTAGGGTTTAGGGTTTAGGGTTTACGGATTCTTTTATTAGCTCTTCTAACAATATTTTTATATCTTGATTGTACTTGTTTAGGGGATAATGTACCCTTTATTAGGGCCTCCTTTGTAGGTTTTTTTTTATTGGGGTGTATACGCACCTGGGGGGCCCCCTTAGCTATACCAGACCCTCCTAGCTTAGACCCTGATAATATTTTCTTCTTACTTATTGTCTTAAGTGTACGTACACCCGATAATATACTCCTGCTGCTGCTGCTGCTGCTGCTGCTGCTGCTGCTGAGGGGACCGTCTGTATCCATATCGTCACTCTGCCGTTTTGATGATAAGGTACGCTACATACACATATACACAAACCCTAAAAAAGGGTTTAGGGTTTAGGGTCTAGGGTTTACGGGGGCCAGCGACAGCACAGGTTGCCTACAGCATCAGGGGCCCCTACACTCATATAATTGGGGCCCCAAGGGGGCCCCAATTATCGACGCAACACACAGTTAGTGGGGAACTGAATGGGCCCTAGGGTTTAGGGTTTAGGGTTTAGGGTTTACGGTTATGACACTCACCATTTTACTATGTATTGTTGCATTCGTCCTAGGGGCCCCCGTGGGGGCCCCCTGGGGGGCCCCCGAGGGGGACCCTGCTTCTTCTGAGCCCTCCTTAGAGCCCTTAGCGATATCGATAGATCCAAGCTGTATACACACCCCAAGGACTAAACCCTAAACCCTAAACCCTAAACCCTAAACCCTAAACCCTCAAAACTGCGAGCTACACAGGAGGTGCTCAAGTGAGTGTTTTAAGAGTAAGTGACGAGGAGTTCTAACAACATATTAGGGTTTAGGGTTTAGGATACGGATAAGATGCTGGTATGCTCATTTAGGGTTTAGTGTTTAGGGTTTAGGGTTTACGTACGAGGTTTGTTAGCTGTCTAAGTCCGTCTTTCCTCTTTTTTTTTTCTTCTCTTTTTTTCTCGTCTTCTTTCTCCTTTAATATAAGGTGCTGAAGCCTTTTATGATTTGCCTTGCGGTTATTCTTCTTCGACATGGTCCCTAAACCCTAAACCCTAAACCCTAACTAAACCCTAAACCCTAAACCCTAAACCCTAATTACTGGAACGGCAGCCGGATCGAGGGTTTATGCCTCACGACGAGGCGTAGTGAGTCCTACAGAGAAAAACAAATCTATGAGAAGAAATAAATATTCATGTTGCTGCTGCTGCTTCAAGTGCTGCAGCAGCAGCAGCAGCAGCAAGGGTTTCTGCAATTGCTGCTGTAGGGGCCCCCGTATCTAGGGTTTACTGATGCCTTGGGGGCCCCCCATCGGTGCCTCTTGTCTGCCTGTACGGGGGCCCTCCTCATCTATTTTAATATTTATTTTATTTCTGTTTATTTCTTTTCCTTTTTCTCTTCTTCAAACACTTATTCATATCCACAGTACCCACTGGGGGCCCCCAACCTTCTTCTTGCTGCTGGGGGGGGCCCCCCTGTACGTTTTTTCCCCCCCTTGGGGGCCCGTATAACGAACTTCTTTCCTTATATAGCCCCTCTTGAGGATACAAATGCAAAGGAGTATGCCTGGATCTGTTACCCCTACCCTCCACCCTCAGGGGGCCCCCCTAGAAGGGCCCCCAGGGGGCCCCCCAGCAGAGGAGAAGCAGCAGCTTTCGTACCCTAAAATTGAACAAGAGAATATAAAGATAACAATTACTAAGGAGGAAGGGGACTTAGGTGTATTAGAATCTGCCTCTAAGAGGCATCAGCAGCAGCAACAGCAGCAGCAACAACAACAGCAGAAGCAACAGCAACAACAGCAACACGATATGCAGCAGCAGCAGCAGCAGAGGCATCTGCAGCAGCAGCAACAGCAGCAGCAGCAAGACATGTATACAGTCTTTCAAAATTCTACTTTAGGGCCAAGAGATCTTGGCTGGGCCTGTATAAACATTCTGCAGCAGCTCGATGCTGCTGCTTCAGCAACAGCAGCAGCAGCAACAGCAGCTCCTGCTGCTGCTGCTGCTGCTGCGGAGCCGTCGTATGGATCTGCACAGCAGAAAACAGAGGACGAGGAGAAGGCCCTTCTTGATATCTTTACTCCAACATGCTGCTGCAATAATAGCAGCAGCAGCAGCAGCAGCAGCAACAGCAGCAGCAGCAGCAGCAGCAACAGCAGCAGCAGCAGCAGCAGCAGCAGCAGCAGCAGCAAATCAGCAGCACGTTTGCCTGCCTGGCGTCTTTTGGAGACTCTTCGAGCCTTTCTGCTGCTTTGGAGGCTCCGCGATCCTGCGCAAGCTTCCCCAGCGACCGGAAGCAGCAGCAGCAGCAGCAGCAGCAGCAGCAGCAGCAACAACAGCAGCAGAGGGATGACGATTGTGTTGAAAATTCTGCGGCGTTTTCTCTTTGAGAGCTGCGCAGTTGAATCGCTGCTTCTCGGCAGCGGCTGCAGCAGCAGCTGCAGCAGCAGCAACAGCAGCGGCTGCAGCAGCAGCAGTAGCAGCAGCAGCAGCAGCAGCCAGGAGTGTTGCTGCTGCGACGGGTGTACGCGTGCAGGAGCAGCAGCAGCAGCAGCAGCAGGTAAGCGCATTACTTCTGCTGCTGCTGTTGTGCGGCAGCTACTAACACTAACGGATATATTTGCTGCAGCAGACACCGTGGGGGGCCCCATGCTGCAGCAGCGGGAGGCCCCCGAGGTTGGGGGGCCTCTGTTGCAGCAGCGGGTAGCTGGGGCCCTAGCAGAAGCATGGAGGAGACACACTGTTTCCTTGCTGCAGCAGAAGAAACAGCAGCAGCAGCAACAACAGCAGAAACAGCTGCAGCAAGAAGAGAAGCAACACATGCAGCAAAAACAGCAACAACAGGAGAGGGAGGGGGAGAAGGAGCAGCAGCAGCAACAACAACAGCAGCAGCAGCTGCTGCTGGAGAGGGAGGGGGAGAAGGAGCAGCAGCAGCAACAACAACAGCAGCAGCAGCTGCTGCTGCAGCAAGAGGAGTGGTTGGTGGGGTGTACGCACACCTTTGTACTAAGATGTGGGGCAATGCCTGTTGCTGCTGCTATGCTAGCGCCGCTGCTGCTAGATGGGATAGAGGTGCAGCAGCAGCAGCAGCAGCAGCAGCAGCAGCCGGAGCAGCAGGAGCAGCAGCAAGAGCAGCAGCTGCATACCTCTCCTTCCGCTGGCTGCTGCAGCAGATCTCCAGCTATTTGCTTCCCCGAATCTGCTGCTGCTGGTTGCTGTTGCTGTTGTAATAACAGCAGCAGCAGCAGCAACACCAGCAGCAGCAGCAGCAGGGGGCAACTGGTTAGCAGCTCATTATATTTGCTGCTGCGCTGCTGTCTCGTAAGGGGGGCCTCGGGGGCCCCCCTAACTAAGGCAGCACTACAAACCCTTAGTGTCTTCTTTTGCCTTAATGGGGGCCCCCCTAAAGGGGTACTGAACCCTCTTGGGGTGTATGTACCCTCTGCATGGGGGGCCCTCAAGGCAGCAGCTGCTGGTGTGGCAGGGGCCCCCGGGGGGGGCCCCCTCTTAATTCATCTAGCAGCAAAACAAATAGGGGGAGCAGCAGCATCTCCTCTAGGGTTTGCTGCTGCTGCTGCACTCATTGATATACTTGGAGGCGTTTGCCCCCTAAGGGGGCCCCTCAGCAGCAGCAAAACAGCAGATGCAACAGCAGCAGCAGATGCAGCAGCAGCAGCAGATGCAGCAGCAGCGAGCACCAGTTGCTGCAGAGGTGACACGTGCTCAGCCTGTACTATTCCTGATGTTTTGCAACTACAGCAGCAGCAGCAGCAGCACCCGCTGCAGCAGCAGCAGCAGCAGAGCATATTTCGTGGGATGTACAGACAGCTGCTGCATGCGCTGCTGCTGCTGTGGGGTAGCGGAGAGCAGCAGCATTGGCTGTCTCTAGAGCAGCAAGTAGCATTAACATTTAATCTGCTGCGCTTCCTGCTGCACACAGCAGCAGCAAAAGCAGCAGCAAAAGCAGCAGCAAAAGCAGCAGCAGCAGCAGCAGCAACAGCAGCAAAAGCAGCAGAAGCAGATGCAGCATCACAATCAACATCATCAACAACAGCATCATCACCAGCATCAACAGCAGCAACAGAAGCAGCAACAGCAGCAGCAGCAGCAGCAGCAACAGCAACAGCAGCAACAAAAGCAGCAACAGCAGCAGCAGCAGCAGCAGCAGAATTATCATTAGGGGACTGGGAAGCAGCACAACTAATGGAGGGAATTCACATGCGTTTGCTGGCAGCAGAGGAGACACTCCGCTGCTGCGGCATGGCAGCAGCAGAAGGGTTTGCTGCTGCAGCATTAGGGGCCCCTAGGGTTAATGCTGCTGCTGAAGGGGCCCCTGTACCAGGTACACTTGATCCATCTAATACAGCAACTGCAGCAGCAACTGCAGCAGCAGCAGCAGCAGCAGAAGAGGAAGAGGAGGGGCCCCTTGTCTTTAGGGCCCTTGAGGAGCCGCAGCTGCTGCTGCGCTGCCCTTCGCTGCTGCCTCTCTCATACATCCTCATGCCCCCCCATAGTAAGCAGGAGGGGCCCCCAGGGGGCCCCGTAGGGGGCCCCTCAGGGGGAGCCACTGGGGGACACCTAAGGGGCGCCTTAGGGGGGCCCTGGGGGGGGCCCTGGGCTGTGTATGGGCAGCACCCTCTGCTGCGTCATGTAGGGGGTATGCAGCAGGAGTTAGACCCAGGGGAGGTGCAGCAGCAAACAGCAGCAGCAACAGCAGCAGAAGCAGCAGCAACAGCAGCAGGGCCCTATTTGGGGGGGGAGGGGGCCATGGGGGGCCCCGCCTATTCCCATCTATTGGCAGCCCTTCGTTTCTACCTTAGAGGGGCCCCTCTTATATCTAAGGAGGAAGGGGGGCCCCCAGAGGGGGCCCCTGAGGGTACTATTGAAGGGGCCCCTAAGAATGAAGGACCCAAGGGAATGTCTGTGCGTATTGAATTGGATGTAGAGGAGGAGACAGACGAGGAGACAGAAGGGGAGACAATAAAAAAGGAGACAATAAAAAAGGAGACAATAAATAAGGAGACAGAAAAGGAGACAGAAAAGGAGACAGAAGAGGAGACAGAAGAGGAGACAGATGAGGATGAGTTAAGACTATCCCAGCTGCCTGACCTTCAACCCTTACCTTCTTATCAGCAGCAGCAGCAGCAGCAGCAGCAAGGGGACCCCCTATCCCTAGTATCTGTTTCTGGGGCTGCGCAGCAGCAGCTGGGGGGCCTCCAGCTGCAAGAGGGGGGCCCCTATTCCCTACAGCAGGCATTAGAGTGGTTAGAGGGTACAGTTGCAACAGGTGATCGTTGTGGTCCTGATGCAGCAGCAGCAGCAAGAGCAGCAGCAGCAGCAGCAGATCCTTACCGTAAGTGTCCCTTAGCAGCAAATAAAAAGGAGACAAACCCCTTAGTACATCTAAGGAGACAAGCAGCAGCAGCAGCAGCAGTTATCCGTCTATCTATAATAGAAGTGCAGCGTTATCTAGCAGCAAATCCCCTGGGGCCCCATATGGAGGCCTCCCGGGGGGCCCTTAGGGGGGGGGGGCCCAGGGCAATCTCTTTTGGGGGGGGCCCCCAGGGGGCCCCCTTAGTAGAGTCTACTGCTGCAGGGTTTGTTACAGATAAGATGAATGAGGGTTTAGCTGTGCCGCTGCTGCATGCAATATTGGGGCTGGATTGTTCGCTGCAGCCGGAGGTAATGCAGCCATTGGTTGCTGCTGCTGCTGCTGCAGTATTTGCTGTCTTTTTTCCTTTGCTGCTGCAGCAGGTTGCACCATTGCTGCTGCAGCAACAAGCAAGCGTCACACAGAAGCTGCTGCTGCTGCAGGCTATGCAGCGAGCTGTTAGATGGCTAAGGGATGGGGCCCCCGCAGACGGGGGGGCCCTCCTTACAGATAACCCGCAAAGAAAAAGAGCGCCAAAACGTCTGCAGCTGCAGCAGCTGCAGCAACAGCAGCAGCAACAGCAGCAGCAACAGCAGCAAGGGAGCCTGGTCCCTAGATCTATCCAGCAGCATCAGGCTGAAGATAATCACCACCAACAAAAACAGCAGCAGCAACAACAACAGCAGCAACAGCAGCAGCAACTTGAGCAGCAGCAACTGCAGCAGCAGCAGCAGCAACTTGAGCAGCAGCTACTGCAGCAGCAGCAGCAGAGAAGGGGTTTATTAAGTGAGGTTCGTGTTCGTCGTTTTGCTCGTCCTTCTTTGCCCCTAAGAGGAAAAATAAATTTTTTTAGTCCCTTTTTAGATGCAGCATTAGGGGCCCTTATTTCTTGTTTGCTGCCTCCTGCTGCTGCTGCTGCTGCTCCCCTTTCTCCTCTGCAGCAGCAGCAGCTTC